GCTATATAGCACTGTTTGTTACCTGGGCCAGTGTTAAGGTGCTGCTCCTTGCGGGAAACTTATTTTGAGAGAAAATCAGTTCTGGTGGTGTAGACACAGTTCAGGTGTTAAAACCCATCTGAAAATCTTTGAGGTGTGTTTTGCTGTGGTTGCATGGCATGAGTGTGGTTGAAAAAATGTTCCTTTTATAACTTACTGCCTCGCTACAATATGACAAATTCTATGATGTAAACTTAAAGTAAGCTTCCCCTGTTTGAAAGACCAGCAGCCGCCACTGATCTGGGTCACTGCATGTATAGTCAATTGGACCCAAACTGGCCTTGGTGCTGTGAGCATGCCCCACAGTTTCCAGCGCTGGCTTTGACACAGAAGTCAAATAGCATTAAATGCATAACAGAAGAAGAAGCCGGTAACAACATGGCGAAATCTACATCCAGAGCTGTGCATTTTTGGATGGACGACAAGTACAGAGCTGTAAAGATGTCTACAATGGTAGCAGTTTGCTGCTAGCTAACTAACTTGTTTGTTGATTGTTTGGTCTGTGATGTAATATATCAACTAGAAAAAGGTCCAATACTAACAAGCTGAAAGGGGGGATATCACCACCTATCATAGCTGAGTTCTTCAGTCTATACATCGATTCCCCTCCCGTGCTTGTATACTGGGACAAGGACAGTAGTCCAATTAAATGGCCTAGTTGAGCTGTAACTGTAGCTCCACTTAACTGTGGACGTAAGAGTGAGCACAAGTTCTGGTTTTGGTCTCTGCAGAGTAACGATGGTAACAAACCTGGCAACTTCAGGAAGTTGTGCACAGTCACCCAGGCCCCCAGCAAGCGCTAGACTTTGAAGCCAATTTGACATAGTAACCAAATTGTGAAACCACAACTTTAGGGTCTGTCACATGATGCCATGTGGCCGTAAAAGACTTATTCCCATAGAACTAGATTGGGAAAGCGGCGTCTGTAAACTGGCGGATACATTTTTTGAGCGTCATCCCTGCAAAATGACTTGTTTCACTTTCAGGATTTGATCCATCTGGTCTGATAACATATTCTAGCAGAGCCACATGATTAAATCATTTTATCCCCATTAGAGTATGCGGAGGGCAAGACCCAAAGTTATCCGCTCAGCCGGCCAAGTCTCTGATGTGCTATGAGCCCAACAATTCAGAGGATCTGGGTTATTTTACACCCGGGAAGTCGAACTTTTTAGCTTTATGTGCCACGTTGGATGTATAAAGAGACCTGGATACAGTGGTGGAGGTGAGGCCTAGTTTATTTCTGAGAGTTTCTCATTAGTGCATGAAGCCAAAACAGGTCAGGTGCCAGGTATAAAATTACCCTGATGATCACCACTGCATCTACACCGTGCGGCCCCAAAAGCAGGTGCACTAGAGACTGATGATGGCTGAACGCAACCGAGAAGCTACCTCCTGCTGGCCTAACTGGCAACTACCAGTTCAGCACTCTGTTAACTTGAATGGGGATGAAATCGTTTAGTTGTGTGCCTTTTCTAGACTTTCCACTTCCGGGATAGTAAAAGAAGTCATTTTGTGGGGGTTTTGATGCTCAAAAACATGTGTCCATAATTTACAGACCTCTCTTTTGCTGTGGAAGCCAATGGGAAAAGACTTTTTGGGCCACAGACATGTGATGGTGTAATTCCACAGTTTGGCCACTACGAAAGCCTGGTGCACATCCTCGTGGCCTGAGGCATAGATTTTAATCATACCTACATAACCGGATGCCAAGATGATGCCTATTCATTCCTATGGAGTTGCTCACCTCACGCATACACTCAAAAAGTTTTCTAGCTACTGGGTTTACGTCTGCGGTATATGGCCCACTGAATATGCGCAGTAGGTTTTCTCCTGGTGGCCCCGCCTACGAGTTCCTGCTCGCCTCATAGACTTTACATTGTGATGATGTCACAGATTTTTAAATCACTTTTCTCAGCTTGAGGTTTTACAAATATAAAACTACCATGGCCGCAGGGGATGGTTTTTGTTTTTTTTTTTTTTTTGCTGCAATATCGTCAGTGGCCACTGGGGAAAAATTGATGCAAGGCTGAGCTGCTCCTCTGGGGGACTGGCCTGAGGACACTAAGCAACTTTCATGGGAATGAACAGGGCCCCGCCTCCAACGCTGTACACATTACTTTCATACATCCATGCAGTCACCGCACCTGACTGTCATTCACCAAGCAAAAAGTTCAAGCCCATAAGTCCCTCTACATGCACATTTCATTCTTGAATGATAACATTATCTGGTCAATGACTATTGATTGTGGGGCCACGGTCCCCTAACTCCAAAACATGTTGACCAGAAATCAAATAATCTGCCTTAAACTCCCCCCCCCCCCTTTCCATTTTATTCATTATGTGAACAGTTTCTATGTCTTTTCTGTGAAATTCGCTTCCAAACGTGAAATGCTTCTTTTAAAGTTTTCTTATTCATCTAAAAGAAGTCAAAATATCCACCAAGTGTTCACTGTAGAAAGAACATGAATTGTCCTAGGCTGCTAAACACCCAAAATTCCTACAAAAAAATAAAGATATCTTATCTTCTCTCAATGGTACAGTTGTACAGTTGAGTGTAACATTTAGCATGTTACCATGCTGACAATGTACAGCATGACAACCATAGCTCACATGCGTACATGATAATGTTTTACTACTCCACTACTACTACTTAATACTGTTTTACTGTTTACTGTCATTGTCTGTTGTTATTTTTAGAGGAATACTGTTTGTACAAGTCAAAATTTTGATCTGTGGCCCTACATGATAAGTCAAATAAGATCATTAAAGTCTTAAGGATTCATCCTCTGGGGATCACGAATGTCTGCATCGCAATTCAGATATTCTCTCTGGAGCAAATAGTATCAGTGCTGCTGATGGCTAGATCCAAAGTTGGCTAAAATCTACAGCCATGAAGCCTTGTGATAAACCTCTACACAGTAAAAGAAATCAATGCCCACAATGACAATTCTCCATATAATTTATTCAATAAATGTTAAATCATCCATATTAGTACTATTTGACACATCTGTTAACATAATGAAGGTGAGCTGTCACTCATTCAGCATTAAGTTACATAATCTATAATTATCCTCCACCTCTAGTTATTCATTATTTAAAGGGGCTGTATGCGAAATTCAGAGTTGCCTGCACATGGTTCTCAACATGGAAGTAGCTGAGCCAGCAGGTAGCAGCTAAAGGTGCTAACTCTGTAAACAGCAATAAACAATATAGCTACAGTGCTGACAGAGCTAACGGTGTTAACCAGGAGGAAAGTAAAGGGTTAGCTATGTTTCTATGTCACCGCCATCCCGATATTAGTGGTAACTGCTGTGTGAGCGGGGATGAGCTAGCCAGTGGGGTACACACACAAACTAGAGGCATATGGACCAGCAACAACCCACAAAGCAGCTCGGATTACAACACACACAGAGGGAGCGCAACTTTTCTATAACACCATTACTCTGCTATATCTTTACATAGCAAATACTAATGTTGCTGCTTTATTAATGCTCTGAATGTCGCATTCAGGACCTTTAAATGCATGTGTAAATAATATATGAGTATCTTTCCTCAATTACCTCTGAGTGCTTGACTGGGTAAGATACAGCAGTGTTTAAGTCTAACATTCACATACTGAACTTTAATAGATTCAAGTGTGGCATCCACAGTCTAAAAAGATGAGTGGACAACATCTGTTTCTACGATGTTCTTCTCAGTGACAGAGTGACACATGTGCTCTATTGAGGTAGAAACATCGCTTCAATACTGGATGCATCATTCATTCTTTAGAAAGCAAACCTGAAATGTGCTGAAATAATACAGTACTGCAGGGCGGACCCTTATAAAAGGAACGTTTGGAGGAACTTTACAGAAGCTTTAAAGTGCACTGTAACAGCATGATTATCACATATATGGTCCTTGTGTTGTCATTCCAGTGTCGTACATAATTAACAACTCAGCTTTCATCTAAACACTTTCTCTTGTGCAAGTGAATGCATCAAAACATAAGTAAATGTGCAGATATGAGTAGAACTAATTCAGCAGTAATCATAACATTTCTGAAATTAGACAGTGACCAACATGAATTAATAACATGTAAATGTGACATGAGTAAGAGCTTACAGTGTAAGATGTAACTCCCCTCTGAAAAGGACTGCTTGACGGGACACACACCACAGAGGACGTGACAGAATAACAAGTAAACACAGAGAAAACATACATTAATCTCTATCTAAGCACTGACAGGACTGATCCATTTTCAGTGTGCAAAGAAAACAACAAAGGAACTCTTTTTCATAATTCTGTACTGAAAACCTATTTCCTCTTCCCTCATCAGGGAGGTCAGGCTCAGGAACACAGCAGCACTAAGCATCTTGTTTACCTACACTTTGAGCTCTTGAACCCACCACATTCATTTTTGTTGAAGACAGACTGAATAGAATTGACTACTACATATCACCCAGCAGAAATGAAAACTAGCTAGCATGACGAGGATTTTGTCAGACTAAACGAATCATAATGCTTATCACTGACACAAGCATGTGTTAGACAATATATTGACAAGACCTGTTGAGTAGCAGATTTAAGAAGAATGACAGGAAAGCAGATGTGGGTTATCCTGACATGAAGCTACAGCAATGACATACTGTACCTGCTAACAATTTATGGCTAAACACTGTTTGTGTGGTTAAAAGTTTCTTAAAATAAGCTGCTATGGCAATGTTAGCATTTAATCAACATGGTGGCCTCAGATTATGGCTCTTGCAGACCCAGGCATTCTAAGATAATTAATACCCAGTGATCTTTGCAAACCCAGAAGGTCTTTAAATTGGGATGCACAATAATATCTGCACGTCATCAGTATTGGCCAATATCTGCTTTAAAATGAACTATCAGAATTGGCCAACATGATTTTTCTTATTTTGCACAATGAATGAAGGTTACATACATTGATAAGCATTCTATTTCATGTCTCCATCTGCTGGTGGGCCATCACAAGAAGAGTATGCATGCATAAAATGATAATTCCACTACAGAAAAGACTTGACGATCGCTAAAATTAGGCAGCAGAAAAAAGTGGATGTATCGATATCTGCTATAGAAGTTGTTATATAACAGCATATCAGAAATCAGCAAAAGATCCAATATTGTGCATCAATATCCTTAACAACACATAATGTTGTTTTGAAAATTCAATTTTCTGTCCATCGGGATTACAGATGTCAACTGTTAATCAGTTAACCCCTGAGGATATTTTGGAGCTGTTAAACATGTCTGCCTATAGGTTAATTTTGCTACTCTTTACAGCACTGCGCACCACCCAGGTCTGGTAGGAGCTGAACAGCTAGCAATGCTGCTCATTTTGCAGAACTTGCTATGACACTATCTTGACCCAACAGCATTGCTGGGTCACACCAAATCTAAATGGACAGCGCTTTGAAATGCAGTGCTAAAGCTCACTAAGGCAATGGAGTGCCAGATTAAAACAAAAGGCCTTTTGTATTTTTTGTTGTTGCTGTTGTTAAATATCAGCTAGTTAGTTACTAGTTAATGGGTGTCAGCCTGTCAAAAGCAAAAATGGACAGCTCTAATATACCTTTTTCACAGCGGACATTTTGACATGTCATAGTAGGAAAAGCACAGGTGAAACTGAAGATTAATTCAATTCAATTCAATTTTATTTATAAAGCCCAATATCACAAATCGCAGTTTGCCTCAGGGGGCTTTACAGCATATGACAATGAGCATTGGCTCAGTTTCATTAAGTGTCCCAGTAAGATATTCAAGCGAGATAGCATGAACAATGTCAGGACCTCCCCTAAGGATGCAGCTATCATTAATGTTAATAAATACACCTGTGCTTTTCCAACTATTACAAGTCAAAATGTCTGCTGCAAAAAAAACAATAAAACACAATAAAAAAAATTCAACCTGTTTCCATATCTGCCTTTCTGCTTCTAATCCAGCTAACCAAAAAAATGACGTCTCTCTTTGCTTATTTTGTAAAATACAAGAAAAGTGTATTTTCGTATAGAGCTATGATATAATAATGAAACAACTTTTGAGGGACTTCAGGGGCCCTGTATGAGAGGCACTGAGGATTGTGTCAGGACCGTCAGAAAAGCTGTGAGTGCTATTGAATTACCTCTAGGTTTTTCAAAGATTGTGGGGTGTATATTTTTTTTGAAAGATGTATGCTTAGCTCTGTGACTTAAATATTATGATAAATACATGACAGCTACAAACTGCTGGGTGAAATATTAACCTGATCTATCTATGAAGTGCAAATCTATTCAGGAAGTCCCTGATTAAGTAGTACAACAGTACAATACTGCCAGTATTTCAGCTATCACTTTTCCAAAGTATGGCTTTTACTCCGAAAGGTTGCTATACATCACATGACATAAATAGCAGCCTTTGATTTCCTCATTTCATCTATGTTCGCAAAGCAGGCTTTTACACTGCTGCTCTGATGTTTTTTGAATGATGAACATGAGCTGTCTGCAAAAAGATATGCATGTACAGTGTGTACCAGGTCCAACAGCTTTTCATACTGATTAGACAACATCTGATTTACATGACATTTAATCTGAGCTAAAGGACTTTATGCAGTGTGAACATAATCTGGTGGAAACTAGCCATCAGCGTAATGAATACCAATCATACAGCAGATGTATTCACTATACACACTACTCACATCTATATAACCCAAGTATTCCAGCAAAACATATCAGCAGGATGTCAATGTATGCTTCAGACTGTTACACGTCCCTTAAGGTTAAACGCGAGCATGGCTTCTTAATGACAGGGCAAGTTTGACTGGCCTGCTGAAAGTGCTTTGCTGTATGACTGATACGAGCTCTCAGCTATTTCTGCTGCTTTGTGAAGGCCACTGCACTTCCTGCTGCAAGGGTCACTTGAAGAGAGAGGAAATGAGATTGCTTGTGAGCATTCATGAAAGTCAGAAGAAGAGGTGTGGTTAGCATAGCCCAGAAAAAGATTCAGTCAATGTGAAACAACAGTTTAAACCATAGCAGAGAGTTTTTTTAAAGATGCTGTTCAAGGTCAGAGAAAGGGGGAAGTGCAGCAGGAGGAACTACTTAACAACAGACTACACATCAGCAACTTCTGTAAATTGTCATGCTGACATTTAAACCACATCAGCCAAATGTTTTATGAAACATGTTCTCCTGGGTACCAACACCTTTCCTGTGTCCTCAAGTGTGCAGTCCCTAGAGGTAGTTATTATCGCCACTGCTCAGACATCCTGTTGGAACATGCTGGAGCAGCTCAGGGGAAAGAACTGGCAAGGTCTTTCAATATCCACTCAACCAGACAGCCACCCTGTGGTGCGCTCAGAATATAATCCTTTCATCTGCCGTTGTCCCTGATTTCTGCTTATGAAAGCTTGAAAAATGTTCTCTAAGGGGTTGGAACATATGAGGGACTTGAAATGAGGAGGGAAATATTGTTTTACTTGTGCGCTTTTCTTTGCGGCATTACTCTGTATGCATGTGCAATTCTTACTTCACAGTTGGGATGATAAAAAAAAGATGTGTGATCAGTGGCATTTCAGGTGTTTCTTGGGTTGTTCCTTAGCTAGCTGGTCTCTCTGGGGTCCGTAGATGCAGTTGGCACACCAGGAGAACCACACAATGATGGAGATGATGGTGGTCTGGAGGAGGAGCATCACCCCGTAGGTGGAAGCTATAGTAGGTCCAGGTAGGCGGGAGAGGGTGGCAGGGGGCAGCAGCAGAGTTGGGCTAAGTAGGATTGCCTTCACCTCGGTCTTGATCATATGAAGTTCGTCGAGAATGGACAAAAAGGTGCAACAGTGGAACCACTGGTGGCTGTGCCCCCAGATGTCGAAGTGACCCGGGGCTAGCCGCTCGGGGAACTTGCTGATGTTGAAGACGGCTGACACCAGCAGCCAGAGGCAGTGGCGATAGAAGAAGCTGGCCGTGGAGGTGGAGGCAGCAAAGGAGGAGGAGTTGGTGGCATAAGGCGATCTGGTTAGGAGGCGGTAGAAGACTGGTGTGGAAGACACGAGGAATGGGAGGAGGAAAACAAGGGTTCGGATGAGATATCTGTGCCGCCTCCACCTTTGGCGAGTATTGCAGCAAGATAAGACGCAAATGATTGCAACAACACACGCGCACGGGATGTAGAAGGTCTCAAAGAACACACTGAAATCTGAGATTGCATAGGATGATGTTAGAGATTCTGCAGGCTCATGTTTCAAGTCAATATGGGAGCCATTGTGGCCTCCTGTCTCCACTATCCCTGCCCGGGGGTGGATATAGTAGTAGTACGCCAATGATGAGCCAACCGTGTAGGAGCTGATAGTGCCGTAATCCACAAAGAAGCAGACTTCTCTAACCACCAGAGACATTGAGTTAAGTAGGTGGGCCATGCTGCTAGCCATTAACAGACAGAACACCCCAATAAAGTAGTTCCACAATGGGTAGAAGAACGGGGTGTCACCATGTGGCGCACCTTCCCAACCAAAAACCTCCACAAAATAGTACGAAAAAATGAAAACTGGGAGGAAGTGTGTCCAGAAGTTGCCTGTTTCATTAGTGGGCCTGAATGCTGATAGTAAGCAATCCCTCAGGCTGTAGTTTGGGAAGCGGTAGCCAGTCAGGATGAAGTTCTCTATAACCCGAGGCGGTACATCCGTATGCTTCAGAAGCGGTAACGGCTGCCCGCATTTCAGAAGCATAATGGCGACAGTTGATGTTGCTGAAAGCCAACAATATCTCTTTGACTTTTCCTGCACAGCACCTCGCTTTTTAATGCTTGGCTGTTAACTTTATTGCTGGTCACAGCATAATTAGTGATTGCCATACAATCTGTCACTTATGAGTGGATAAGGCATCTACAGGCTGCTTGCTTTAAAAGACCTTTCAGCCCTGCTTGTCTTTGGACCTTTGATCCCAGCTCCACTGTGGGCCTCATGAGCTGGAGGTTAATCCAAAGAGCAAAGCTGGTGTATAGTCCAACAGTATACCGAGAGTAAATTTTAGAGCCACCTGCTTGAATAATTTTTCCCTTTGGTTTCCTCTTGACTCCAGAAGGTTAGCAAAACATCCAGCATGCAATGCTTTTCATGCTCTTCCCTTATTTTGCATTGAACGTATGCACATTCACGTGTCTTGTTATGGACAGTCCTGCAGCAGCAAATAAAAATGAAGGTCACTTATGACTGTGTTACAAGGTTGAACAGGACGTCAGTTACTGTATCCATCCGCAGAGATGTCCTGAAGACGCTCCATGAAGCTCTGTGGTATGTAGGTCATGCCGGCGTTCAACACTATATCGGGCTACTGCAGGCTTCTATTCCTACTGTTGTTCCTCGTCCATCAGCCTGTATCCACGACCGACTTTCAATTCATTCAGCTTCCATTCCGTTGCAATGCAGGGCGCTGCAGAGAGGAACAAATCCTCCGGGACTGAGAAGCAAAGCGGTAAGTGTGCCGGTGTTCACCCCTTTAACGCAACGTCACGTTTAAATGTATAGGCTACGTCGGGTTAAAGGTGGGAGGCTACCAGGAGTCTGTAGCCCTGAGAGGCTGGAGCCGACCGGCATTTCGGCGAAACACTGAGGAGAACAGAGACTGTTTGACAGGTACCGTAGGAGCATCAAGATACACACGCTGTAAAATGGGGTTCCGGTTATGACTTTCAAAATAAAAGTCAGAGGTTTGTTTATGTAACACTTCATTGAGGTCATATTGCTAGTTTACAGTTACCTATTAGCACTGTTGGGCAGGTTATTCTCAAAATGTAATGTATTACTGGTTACCTTCATTTGAAAGTGATAAGGTACTTTACAATAGTACTCTTTTTGTAGAGAAGTTGCTTATTACACTACTACTACCAAAATGAGCTCAGAAGAACTAATGTTCATTTTAAATGGATGTTAGTCATGTTGTTTCACAGCAGGTAATCAAAGCACAGAAGTTCCAGTTTATTATAGTTCATTTCAAACTGCAGGCCTGACCCACTCATGCATTCACATACAGTGGTTACCACTTTGTATTAAAATTCTCTCCGGGCACTCCGGCTTCCTCCCACAGTCCAAAGACATGCAGATTGGGGATTAGGTTAATTGATAACTCTAAATTGTCCGTAGGTGTGAATGTGAGTGTGAATGGTTGTTTGTCTCTATGTGTCAGTCCTGTGATAGTCTGGTGACCTGTTCAGGGTGTACCCTGCCTCTCTCCCTTTGTCATCTGGGTTAGGCTCCAGCTTCCCCGCGACCCTCAAGAGGATGAAGCGGTTAGAAGATGAATGAATGATAAATATTTGTGGGCCTATGATATGAAACACAATAAACAAATGTTGAGGTTAGCGCAACAAACAGAATGACGTGTGATCAGTCATTATAACTAGCCTAAATTGATAAATGTTAATGAAAACACACTGAACATGATAACTGCAGTCCCAGATATGCTGATCACCGGCATCCATCTAGGCCTATGATGTTGCGTATAATGACATGACAACACACAATATTTTTTCTAGTGGTGCACTGGTGGACGTGGAGCAGTGTCGATCAGTGTGGATGAATGAAAATTGAAAACAATAAATATTTTATTTTTGGTGGTAATGTATTATATGTGACATCGTAAAAAAAAAATAAAAATTGCTTTTTAGCCTATAGTAAAACATTTTTGAATGAATTAATAATTTTTATTTGTGTTGCATACATCTGGAGAAACAAACATTATTTAACACAATTTTTTTCATAGTCTTAAAACTGAAAAAGGAATAGACTAAAGCCCTAGGCTTATTTTTGCCTATCCTATATCAACCCAGAATATCAACATTACCAAAGAAAGGAAATAAATAAGTAAATGAATAATTAAATACATTATAAATACATTATACTTTACACTACTTTATTATAATCCTTATTTTACATTTTATTTATTTTACAATATAATCTGTAATGCTTTTACATTTTAAGGCTTTTTTGAAACTCAACAGAGAGCAACATAATTTCAGCTCAGCACTGAGACCATTCCATAGTTTGACTCCCAAAACTGAAACACATCTGTATTTTACATCGGTTCTCACTTTAGGCTACATGTTTAATAAATAAGCAACCCTTTTAAATTGTAATTTCATTCTCTTTGAATTGAACATTTGAATTAAACTTAATTCTGAATAGTGATCACAATTTTTGAAAACATATTTTTATGAGTGCTGGAAATAATGAAGCACATAGAATTTTACATAGTCCCAGACCAATACAAAATTCATAATTTACATAGGGAAAAACTGCCATTGCCACTTCGATTATACAATGCTTTGGAAATACAGTTCCTTATTATGGTCAGGACAATAGAGGAAATTTGAATAGGGTATAGTAGTATCAAAGACACTTGACACTTTTATTTTGAAGGCAAACTCCCCCCGTTTCCGGCTTCTTTCTCAGTAACTGTGTGCCTTGAGGCACTTGAACGGAGAGTGCTGAAGTATCTCAAAGCTTTGGCTTTTCTACGTTTTTCTTTCCTCGTATTTTTTCGGTTATGCCTAGAGACAAATGTTGATGGAGACAGAAGCTGTTTATTAATGACAGAGAGTAGTGTAGCCGTGCCGAGCCGACGGTGTTCCTGAATCTGCTTAAAATGCACAGTCCGTCCTTCAGTAATCCCGTTAGAGCACCACTGTGCTCTCCCCTCCCCTCTGTACCTCTGAATATCTCAACCTTTTATAGAGCTCCTTACCCTCTCTTCCTTTGTTTCCGTTGTAATGTTGTAATGTTCACTGAACATACAGTACAGTGGTCAGATTTATATCGTTATAACTATTCTAACATCTTATATCTTGGTATCTCATAGTGTTTTGTTACGACTGTTTTATTATCTATAAAGGTGCTGTCATGGTACAGTAACAGTATAGTAACCAAGCCAGTCGCCAGAAAAATATTGGCACTGTACGTTTCTGCAAAGCACATATACATTTGCCCATTATTATGTAGTAGATACATTTAAACTGTACATTTCAACAACACTGGTAATGCGTGGTTAGCTTTCAGCACAAATATACATATAATAATATAATAATAATAATGATAATAATAATTATTATTATTATTATATTAATTATAGGAGGCTTATCCCTGCAGGAAAAGCAGCAATGTCTCAGTAAATAACAATCACTTTTTGTGCCTAAAAAGCTGCTGGAAAAACAGCGACAGGTTGCTACAAACTTGCTAATTATTTTATAATTTGTTCCATCCATCCATCCATCCATCCATCCACCCACACAGGACTGGATTTAACCTGTACCTGTAACATGTTTGCTTAATTTCACCATTTTATTTGTAACATTTGTTACTGAACAAATTTTGATTCATCCAATTTATGATTCAATCCAATACCACACAGACAACCTACAGAGCCTGGTCTCACTCAGAAGTCGTTGAAATCCGGCACTTGGGCAGTGACGACATGATATGTTGCCATTATAGTTAAATGGTGCCTGGTGGCGTCAGGGGGGAAACATGGCGGGACAAGGACAAAAGTTAAGGCGGCGAAAGTCCGACTGGGGCTGTTAGGAGGGGCAGTGAATGGGTCATGCAAACACTGACTTTCACCCATCAGAGCGCTGGTCGCATCCAGTAAGATTCTAAAGCCAAACCCTGCTCTTTTATCCTAAACCTAGCCATGTGATTTGGTTGCCCAAACACAACCATGTGTGTTTGTTGTTGAAGGAGAAAAAACATCAATTTGCAGTGTTGTACCGACATAGTGGGTTTATTTTGAAAAAGACTGTATGTAAAGGTTAAATTTCCTGTGTAAACGGAAGTGTATTTCAAGGTATGTAGCAGCATGTAGCAGGTAGACCTTGACACTGTGTCCCAGAATGTCAACCAGGGCCGTCGCAACCGGACAGGCAAACTAGGCAATTGCCTAGGGCCCCGAGCTGGAAGGGGGCCCCCAGAGACGGCTGACATTGGTCCATATCAATGACAATATGATGGAACCCCTATAGACACTGCAACAACGACAACACGTTGGAATCCCCCCTAATGGGGCCCCCTACTAGCTGCTGCTTGCAAGTGGCTAAGTAAGGTGACCAGATGTCCCGCACTGGGCGGGACTGCACAGCATTTCTGTCTCTTTTCAAGCGTCACGCAAATTGAGACCATGTCCTGCATGATTGGTTGCCACCCGCGCTAACATTGTTGGAGTGCCGTAGTACTACGGTACCTCACGGTACCACTACTGTGGGATAAGTTCAAAGTCCAATCACGCCGTTGCGCATGGACACTCACCCTCTTGCGCAAGCAAAACAAATCATTCAGCACGCTGTGCGAGTACAGATTTCAACCAGCAGCAGAAACGAAAGGTGAATCCTGCCAGTTGTGGGTTGAACAGGGGTCACAGACGCTGTATTCCTGTCAAATACGCCGCAAGATAAGGCTTACTGGCGACGGGGAAGTCCGGCTCCAGGTCCAATAATTTCCTCTTTGTTGGTGTCATGACTGCCCAGAAATACCTGAACAGCCAGCCATGGCGGCACACAGGTATGTGACGTGTCAGAGGAGAAACAGGCCTCTTGCCTAGGGCCCCCAGAGTGTCTTGAAACAGCCCTGATGTCAACAACCAACGCACCCAAAGTACCTTGCACATTGTATATGGATGTGGAAAGTCCATGACCAAACGTAAATATGTGACAAGGTCAGAGTGAGAATGTGTTGACTACAGCATGTTGGATGTTATGTAATTTATAAGTAACAGCACAACAATAAAACCAAAGATGCAGACTGCATAGAAACAAAATGATATAGAAGCTTATTTTCCACAGGTAAGTTTTATTAGGCTATTATGTCTTTACGTCTTTTGTTGTTGTTTAGTGTTTTTTATTTTAGGCCAGTTCTAGTTAAATGTATTTATGTAGCCCATTGTAAGCACAGATTTTCCACACAATATCACTTTATATACCTTTATATGTATTTATACTGTCTACACAGTGTTATATTATTTCTATATGACATCTATTGTACGTCTGTCCGTTCTGGAAGAGGGATCCCTTCTCAGTTGCTCTTCCTGATGTTTCTGTGACGTGAGGTGCAGAAAGGGAACCCAGGAGCGGAAACGGAGCCGGTTATAACAATGATTTATTTAACAAAGGGGCGGGTGAATCCACAAAAAATCAAAATTGCAAGAGTCCTTCAAAAAACACAAAAGACGTCCAGAGAGTGCTGGGCTGTGAGGGCACGGGAGGCACTGGAAAAGACGGAGGAGAGACACGGTTACAAAAACTCATCAAAATGCACAAGAGAAAGTTCACAATGTTACCAAACAGGAACCAAGCTGATACCACGGAGGTTCTCTGTATACTCTGGCGTCGAGGAGTGTCTCAGCAGGCTTAAAGTAGGCAGCTTGATTGGCAAAGCAGAAACAGGTGAGTCCAATCACTCCTCGACGCAGCAGGGGGGAAGGGTGCCTCCGGAGGAACAAAAGTAAAGGTACCCAAACAACACACACACAACCGGAACATACTATCAAAATAAAAGCAGCAGATACAAACCACAACAGTTTCTACCATTTCCCCCCCTGTTAAAGCCATTTTTGGGGGGAGTTTTTACTTATCCGCTGTGAGGGTCCAAAG